AATTAACCCAGCAGCAAGGAGCATTTTCCCGAACTTTCATGACAACCCTGAGCCCAGCTCTCTGGAGCTTTCTCCAGTCTTCCACAAACTTTCTCCTTGACCCTGGCTCTGCCACTCTTCCCCTGACCTTATTACCGTTCTTCAAACACCCCGGGCACATTCCCACCTCAGGGCCTTTGCAGGGTGCCCCTCGGTCAGGTACATCCTCTCATTTAGCCACCTGGCTCGCTCCCCACCTACAGGCCTTTGCTCAGACATCGCTTGCATTCCGAGGCCTTTCCTGACCACTGTACTTTAAATCTCCCTCCCCCTTCTCTGCACTGCCTTTTCCTGGTTTATTTTCCTCCATTATATCTCGAATCATCTACTAGGCAATATTTCTACTTTTTTAGTGTCTGTTTTCTCCTACTAAAACTTGAGCTCCCTGAGGGCAGAGATTTTTGTCTGCATTCACTGCTGTTTCACCAAGACCCAGAACAGTGACTAGAACATGGTAGGAGCTTAATAAATGCCTATGAATGAATGAATAGTGCTCAATGGATGTTGAAAGAATGAATGGATGAATTAATCAAAGAAAAAACCCGTAGAGCGAGGCTGTCGAATTTCGGATGAGAGGGGTATCATTTCTGGCAGGGGTTGGGATGGGCAGGTGACTAGAGAATGTGATGAGCTGTGGGGTCCACAGCAAATCCTGGAGGAGTGAGATCTGAGAATGGCAGCAGCTTATAGGTCACATCTCTGCTTTCCATGGAGCACAGGAGACTGAAATGGGAAGCTCTAACCATGCTATGAAGAATTGCTCCTCTTGGTGGTGGAAAACACACAAGGCCAGTCTGTTTATTTTCCTTTTCTGCAGCTGGGCCTCTTTTTCATCCTAATTGCTTTGTTTCAAGTTGCTGTCACTTCCCAGGAACAGCAGCAAGTGAACTGTGCTGGTGGGAGACACAGCTGTCAGCAGACAGGCCACCTCTGAGGATGCCGATCCTGGGACTCGTCCCAGCAGGGGAGAGGCCCTCGTGACTCTGCCCCGGCTGGAGCGGGGATTCTACCCCAGTCACACAAAGACGGGGGCCGTCTGCCTGGCATCTCACCAGCTAACAGCAGGTAAAGGGGGCCTTGTGGCCACAGGGTCTTGGAGCAGGGTATAAGCTTCTCATCCAACCCCTCTTTTTCCAGGCAGGAAAGGGAAGTCAAGGGGGACAAGTATCTCACCTGGAGACACACTTACTACAATGCAGCTCAAACCTGCATCTCTAGAATCCTCTTCCTGTTACACCGTGCTTCATCTCTTGTGCTGTCTCCAGGACACCGGTAAGGGACAGTCCCCACAATGACCCTTCAGGCCTGCTCTTCCTGTTTTCACGCCTCCATCCTTATTTTCTCCAGTAAGGCTCACCCATCTGGTGTTCCTTCCTGTCAGCACTCTGCTTTCATTCAACAGAGAGAGACAAAGGAGTAATCTCTAATGGTGGCATTTGAGCACCTGGGCCCTTCAAATCTCTCTCATGTACACACAGTGTGGACAACTGTAAGGGTGGCCTGAAGCCATTGGCCCGGTATGCTTCTCTTCCCAGTAACATGTTTTCCTTCTAACAGAGGCTTCCGTATATGTGCCTAACCCCACAGCACTGATTAGCCACAGGGATTTCAGGTGCTCAGAGAGGGAGCTAGCGCTGCAGTGGGGTGGAAACAGGGACTGAGGATCTTGTAGGCACCACTCTGCAGAAAGTCAGCCAGTTTTGGAGTCATACCCCAGCTCTGTCAGTAACTGCCTCTGACCACAGGGAAGGGCCTTCACCTTGCTGAAATGAATGTGTCTTAGCTCTAAACAGAGAGGATAATTCCTGCCCTGGAGGATTATTATGAGAGTGAAATGAGAACCTCAGAGCAGCATACCCTATGCTCACCTTCCACATTCCTTTCCCTGCCCTGTCCGGAGACCCGTTCTGTGAGGCAGGCATGGTTGCGTGAGCTGAACATGGTCTTGTGGTCTGTGCACTCCCAAGTGGGGGACAGGCAGGTCTGTAGCCCCAGTCTAGTGGCTGGGTCTCTTCTGCTAGGGCCAGACCTGACCTTTACTAGGTTTAACCAGAAGTCCTGCGGAGTACATAAGGGAGCCCCAGAGACCCTTGCCACCTGGTGAGGAGGCAGGATGACAGATGGACAAGCATCGGCTTTGGCGTCAGGGGACCCGGGTTCACATTCCAGCTGCATCACTTCCCCGCTGGGTCATGTCAGGCAAGCTGGGTTTCTTTATAAAATGGTGATGATGATGATGGTGAGTCACTGTGCAGACTGTGTGAAGTGCCTGTAACCCTCCCAGGGGGAGAAGGGAGGGAGATTGGAGCTGGAGTGTGAAGATCTTGAATGCCAGGCTGAGGACTTGGGCCTTATTCTGTAGGAAGTGAGAAGCCACAGCCAGTGCTTGGGGTGGTCAGTATGGAAGACGGGTACCATGCTTGCTGAATTCCAGTAGCAGACCCCTCACCTTGCCCTGTGACCACAGCTCCTGTCTGCCTGCTGGATCCGCTCTCCCTTCTCCACGCCCCGGGAGGCTGCCCTATTGGGGTATATCACTGGGCTCTCTTGACTCTGGCTCCTAGTGGGGGCCACCAGCAGAATGGGAGGGGTGGGGAGGAGTGGGCGGTCAGGGGACTTTGTTCCCAGCCCCTCCCTGCAGGGCTGCCTCGCACAGACATTTTTTCCTCCACTGACCAGAGTCACAGCTCCGGTCAGGTGGCCCTTCCCGGTCTCCAGGGTATGGTGGCCACCCCTCTGCCCTCCTCCAGTCCTAAGAGGGGCAAGAGCCCCAATGTCACTGGCCTTGCACTTATCCCTCTGGTTGCCTTCCACCCTTTGTAAATAGCCTCTCTGCTCAACCTCTCCTCTAATGACCCGATTTGAGTGTGCCATTTCTTTCCTGCTAAGATTCGTGCCCTGTTCCCTCTGGGCCTCGTCTCCCTGGGCATCTGTCACTAAGTGGTTAGGTTTGGGTACAGCAAAGAATACTGGAAAATGTCCATCTCAGTGCCTCGGCCTGATTGCACAATGATGGGAACCAGAGGAACATCTTACCAGAAGGGGTGGTGCCTCACTGTCCGGAAGCTAGGGCCTTGACTCCCAGGCCACTTGAATTTGAGGGGAAAAAAGTGACCTTTAGAAGCCCTCTGAGGAGTGGCTGGGAATGGAAACAGAACCAGATTCATTGAGCTCCAGGCAGGAAGCACAGCTTCTGCTGCCCCCTCCCAAGTGGGGGACAGGCAGGTCTGTAGCCCCAGTCTAGTGGCTGGGTCTCTTCTGCTAGGGCCAGACCTGACCTTTACTAGGTTTAACCAGAAGTCCTGCGGAGTACATAAGGGAGCCCCAGAGACCCTCATCCAGGCCCAGCCCACCACCCATTTGCTGGGTGATGTTGGGCTGGCTGTACTACCTCTCTGAGCCTCACTTCGTGTCTGTCATTGAAGACGACAGCTTGACACACAGGTGGGCCGTGTAGTCAGGTGAGGGAACGTGTGTACAGGCCTGTGGTGAAGGATGCTGGGATGGTCCTGCTTCTAGCACCAACTTCCTGGATTCTAACCGAGCTTGAGCACTTTCTGACCACGTCAGCCGTTCACCTCTTTGAGCCCCAGGTGGCATCTGTCCATGCAGGCAGTTGGTAGGTGAGTGAGATAACCCACAGAGGGAGCTTGGCACCATGCCAGGCCACGGCAAGTGTCAGTAAACCAGGACCCTCTCCACCGCCAGGTGAGAGCAGTGGATTATCTTGAAAGTAGGAGTTGATCTGATCTCAGATAGAGAAGGCAGTTAGTGACTAGGGTGGGGCTGGGAGCTCTGAGGACGGGCTGTTGCCCTTGAAAGCATCTCCCAAAGGAGCACATCACAGGAGTTATGAGTTATGAGCCAACATGGACGTCTGTTCCCTTCACGGGGCACTTCTGCAGATAATACCAGGAGCCACAGGATCTCTTCTTCACTCCAGTCCTGGCCCTGTGGTCCCTCCAGGCTGTGCAGGGCTGGGAAGGGGGGCCAGCTGCCACTGTCCTCTGAAGTCCCTGCACTGATAGTCATCCCAAGTACCCATGGCCTCCTTCATACTTGGTGGTGAGTGTGGTGCCTGGCAATTTGGTGAAATCTCTTTTCCTTCCTTCCTTCCTCTTCATTCAGCAAACACTTCCGAGCACCTCTGCTAGCCACAAGCCGTGCCAGGCACTGGGGACAGAGAGCCAAACCAGGTTTGGTCCTTGCCCCCAGGGCTCACAGTGGCATGAAGGAGGCAGACCCACTGGCAGTTACAGGAACACAAGGTAAGTTCCCTGATGGAGATAAGTGCCCTCAGGGAAAACCAAGACCTCACGCGTCCGGGCAGTCCACGGCCTCGGCCTTTCCCTCATCCTGCTTTACGACCTCTCTGCAGGTTCGAGAGATGAGACACGCTCTCTGCCTTTACTCACCTTCTCTTACTGCAGCCAGCAAAGTACTTGGGTCGTCAGCAAGGGAGCCCACATCTGTCTCGGTTCAGGAGCACAGGGGTCCCCTGGAAGGACTCCGGGTAGCCCCAGGCTTCCCAGAAGGCCCGAGCCCCTTGCTGGCCGAGGGCAGCAGCCAAGCTGCTGGAGGGCCTGCGGCAGCGGCGGCTGCTTACAGTCCGCCTGAGGACACGGCCAGAACGAGCATGCTCAGGATTCCAGGGCCACATGCCAGAGCTGGCCTGGCCCTGTGTGGGGGACATGTGCCCAGCCCTGGTCAGAGGAGAACAGGGCACTTTGAAAGCACACTAAGATGGCCCACACCCGGGAAGATAATGCCTCCAAGTTGAGTGGGTGTCACTTAGCAAAGGGGAATGGCCCCTACGGGGTGGCCAGAAAACAGTGAGCACTGTGGTCTCCCTTCCGTCACCCCTGTTAGCTCTGCTGTATGGATTCTGGTGCCTCCTCACTGCAGCATCAAGTCCAGACCCCTCAAGAACCAGCCACAGCTGTCCAAGCACCCTGAGGGGCTCACCGTCCCCCATCCCTCCTCGGGCGGCCTCGTGCCCGGGGACTGTTGCCTGGAATGTCCTTCCTCTTCTTCTCCAGGTGAAGAACTCCTGACCACCCTGCCAGGCCCAGCCCAACTGTGTCCCCTCTAGGAGACGCCTGTGCCACCCTGAGGCCGGTCCCTCGGCCTGGCCCGTGCTCCTGCAGCGCGGAGTCTCACCTCTGCCTGGAGGCTGCCCTCCCTGCACCGGAACTGGTGGCTCGTGAGCTTTCTGTCCCCATGGTGGAGCCCCGGATGCCTCTCCCTAGATCGCCCCTCCTCCTTGTGCCCAGCAAGGTTCTGCGGAGGTTCATGGACTTGCGTCACTGCTGAGGGTATCAGAGTCTGTGACTAAGCCCTGTCCTGGGGCTGGTCTGTCCTGGGTCCCCGGCCCCCCACGCCCCAGCTTCCATCCTTCTGCCCTCACCGAGCGCCTAGTTAATGTCACTGCTCAGCCTGGAAACATTTTCTTAATGACAGAAATAAATAAAAAAATAAAACCAGAGGTTCCAAACCTTGAACAGTGAAACAGCCGATGACGCTGTGTGGGCGACTTCCCAGAGGACACAGAGCATACGTCTCCGGGGTGGAGGCCTTATAAGGGCAGGTTCAGGAGGCAAGTGGGCAGGAGGCAGGGCCACCCGCCAGGAAGGAGGAGGTTGGGGCAGGGGTGGGTGCCCCACCACTGGGCTGGGAGTGGAGCCAGCAGGGGTGCTGGCTGGGACCCAGTTCCACAGGGGGAGCTGGCAAAGCACCACGTCCGGAGTCCCTCGTCAGGCCAAAGTCTGCCTGTCCTTCTGCCTTTACCGCCATTGTCATGAGCACAGGCGCGACCTGCTGTCAGCCACTGCTATGCCCAGCCCAGTACTGGGAGGCCTCTCACGCCACGAGAGGCCATTTCTCACTCTTATTCCCACCTTCCTCCACTTCTGGGCCCAGCAGGGCCTGGTGCCCAGCTGAAATGCAGCAAAGCTTTGCTGGGTGGAAGAATTAGTAAGTGAACGGTTCTTTGGTGTTGGTTTTGGCTCATCAACTGGGCTGTCGCACCTGGAACACGGAGGCAGCATCTCGGAGGAACCAGCGCGGGCTGGATGCTTGGTAGATGCTTACCGACGGATCTGGTGCTCACGTGGTGGGGTGGGCCCTGCCCTTGAGTAGATGAGCAACCAGTTCTTGTCCTGCTCAGGATCACCCTTTCCCAGCATCGAAGCCTGCTTGCTCCACAACTCCTCCAGACACAGGAATGCCTACGGCAGGGGTTTCTCTCCCTCTAAGGACTGCGTAAAAGAGGGTTTCTGGGAGAGTCTTGGTACTTGAGTCATTCCTCTGCCCCAGCATGCCTGGGAACAAAGCACCGGCCACTAGGATGGAGGGTGAGGGGAGGTGTGAGCCAGGAGGCCCTGGCTGAGGAAGGGGCTCCGGAAGCCTCCCCAGCCTTCGTTAGAACAGACTCTTCCCAGAGCTTCCGAAAGCCCCAAATCCTCCTCACCAAGACGGAATAGATGGTAGCGACACGAAGAACTGGAAGGGCCACCCCTTCCCTTTGCCAGCTTTTACTGGGCCTAAATCCCCATCATTTATGTGCCAGTATTCATGAGTTGTGTGGCCCTCTCCCTAAAGCCTCTTAAAAGGCAAAGAGTGCTCCCTGCAGAGGCCAACAAAGTTTTCTAATCACCAGATAAGACAGGAGGACAGAGCAGCTAGAGGTCAGGCCTGGGAGAGGGGCTGGAAGTGTGGAAGGAAGGGGCTAAGAGGGGAGGAGAGTGGGAGAGGAAGCTCCTGACTTTTTCACTTGATCCTTGAAGGCTAACTGAGCCTAGGGTGCGTTCCCCGCCACCGTCCTGAGTGGGAGGGTCAGGCCTGAGAGGAAGCTCTGGCAGCCCCTCAGCTGGCGCTGCTCCAGGTGCCAGGAGAATGTTGTCAGCTGCAGAAGGTTGACACAGTTTGAAGCAAGAGCCCCAGCAGCTCCCACCAGAGGCTAGAGAGTAGAGACAGCTGTGTCTGTCGAGCCTGGTGAGGCCCAGCATTGCCTAAGACCCTGACCTTGGGGTAAGGCCTGCTTTGCTGTCATTCTGTTCCAAAACAGGGGTGTCCCTTTTACAAGAGCAATGCAAAACACAACAAAACCATGACTGCCTGAAATTCCACCATGTATCATTTGGGGTTAAGCATTGCCTCTCTGGGGTATGTTGAATGATGCCCAAGTCCAAATACCTGGAATCATGTTACCTTGCATGGTAAAAGGGACTTTGCAGATGGGATTAAGGATTTTGAAGTGGGAGATTATCCTGGGTTATCCAGGGGGGCCCAGTGTAATCACAACGGTCCCGATGAGGAGGAGGCAAAAGGGTCAACTAGGTAGAGGGCAATGTGCACATCTCCCCAGGAGGAGAACACTCGAAGAACTTGGGATTTCAGCCTGAAATAGTTTCTGAGATGTCCCCTTCCCTGTCCAAGTCAGGGGGCCGTCTTCAACTTATTGGCACTGGGCCTCTGAGGGAACATGGTGGTGACACACAAGAGACAGAGTGTAAGGAGACAAGTGAGAGCAAGGCCTGTGGCAGAACTTGCTTCACTCTGCATCCCTGAGCCAGGCTTTGGTTCGCCACCTGGTACCCTGACTCCCATCCCTCTGGCCTCCTCTCTAAGGGTCATCGTGCCTAGACCCTGCCTTTAAGTAGCTCAGTAAGTCATTTGCTGCTGTTTCAAGTGGCACGTGGGCCACCTGACCCTTATTATTAGCTGTAGAGGTTGACCTTCACCCAGGTGGCACTCCCAGAATCCTCTGCTCTGGCCAGTTTCTTAAATCCTGTTGATCAGAGAGACTGAGTCACTGTGGAAGAGGTTCTCGCAAGTTTTCTAAGATTGATTATTAATACTGGAGATTTTTTAACCATAACAATGATGAAGAGGATGATCAGAGTAAAGATGGTAGTGATTATAAAACAAGACAGGGTATAAATATGTATAAAAAAATAAAATAGCTATTAGATACCATGACATAAGCTCTCTGGGCACTATCGTGTTCTATCATCCCAACTGGAAAGCTTTGGCATCCATATTTTGTTGATAAGGAATTGAGGCACAGAGAGGTTATGTGACTTTCAAAAGGTCACACAGCTAGTTAGTGATAGTATAGGGTTGAAGTTTCAGCCCAGATCTGACTTCAGAGTCCATGCCTTTATCACACTATTCTACATCCTGATACTTTAAACTAACAGTGTGAGCACTGATGCTTCATTTTTAGCCAAGCAATAGTTTTCTAGGGATGGGAAGGTTTGGGGCAGGAGGGAGAAGGAGAGGAGTGGCATGGGGGAAGGACTTGCAGCATGGGTGAGCGGCCTGCCAACTGGTTGCCTCTAAGCAAGGGGTCTTAATAAAGTGGCAGACTGAGGCCAGATTATCTTAATCAAAACATAAATAGCTTTGAATTTAACACTGCATCTTAGAAAGTGAACTTGAATCTTACTCTTTTCTAAGTACAGTTTTATTTTTGACCAACTTTATGCCATCTTGATGATTTTTCTCAAATAGTTTTGCATTGCCTGCAATTTAGTCAAAGCAAATTTTAAGACCAAACAATATTTTAAAAGTGATTTCAAGTTGACAGGCATTGAGGCTTAGTGGAAAGGGCCTCAGGAGACCTGGGTTCTAGTCCCAAACTTGCTATTTCAGCCTGTGTGGCCTGCAGAAGTCTTCACTCCAAGTTCAAATGAGGTGTTTGGGTTGAAGCCATGAGAAACATGAAAGGTTTTGTTTGTTTTTTTATAGGCCTCAGCTCCAGGTCCAGCCCTGCTGGCTGGGTAGAAGGGGCTGAGAGGTTTTGATTCTATGGAATAGCTACAGGTCTTTAGACAGGGCCAGCTGGGGAGGGCAGGGACCCCAGCATCTTGGCTTCCGACCTCTGTTTGCCGGAGTCACTGGTAGCTCTGGCAACTGGTTTTCTCTGTCCCTGGGGGCTTCCAGAGGGTAGGCCAGGGGTGACTGGAGATGATTCATCCTAAAGTGCCCACTGCTCAAATGCACTGTCAGAGCAGAAGAGAGCCCGGATTGGCTGGTCCTGAGGGTCACACACACTGGCCAGGGGCCCATTACACTGAGCAAGAATCCCCAGAGATACTGGCATAAAAACAGACACATAGATTCAATGGAAGAGATTAGAAAGACCAGAAATAAATGCAGGCTTATATGGTCAATTAATTTAGGACAAAGGAGCCAAGAATATACAATGGGAGAAAAGACAGTCTCTTCAATAAATGGCATTGGGAAAACTAGACAGCCACATGCAGAAGAATGAAACTGGATCACTATATTACACCAGACACAAAACTCAACCAAAATGGATTAAATACCTGAAACATAAAACTCCTAGAAGAAACACTGGTGATGGTGATGAATCTTTAAATCTGACACCAAAAGCAACAAAAGCAAAAATAAGTGGGGTACATCAAACTAAAAATTTTCTGCACAGCAAAGAACACCATCAACAAAGTGAAACAGCAATCTATTGAATGGGAGGAAATGTTTGCAAATCGTATATCTGATAAGGGGCTAATATCCAAAATATATAAAGAACTCATATAACTCAACAACAACAAAAAATATTTAAAATGGGCAGAACATCTAAATAGATATTTTTCCAAAGAAGACATACAAAGGCCAACAGGTACATGAAAAGATGCTCTAAATCATTAATCATCAGGGAAATACAAATTAAAACTAAAATGGGATATCATCTCACACCTGTTAGAATGGCTATTATGGAAGTGACAAGAAATAACAAGCATTGGTGAAGATGTGGAAAAAGGGAGCCCTTGTGCAGTGTCGGTGGGAATGGAAATTGGTGCAGCCACTACGGAAAACAGTATGGCGGTTCCTCAAAAAATGAAGACTAGAACTACTATATGACCCAGCAATCCCACTTCTGGGTATTTATTCAAAGAGAACAAAATGCTAATTCTAAAAGATATACACCCCCCCACCACCTCCCATGTTCACTGCAGCATTATTTGTAATAGCCAAGATATAGAAAAACTTAAGTATCCACTTATGGATGAATGGATAAAGAAATTGTGGTACATATACATTGTGTGTGTGTGTATGATGCAATACTACTCAGCCCTAAAAAAAGAATGAAATGTTGCCATTTGAGACAACATGGGTGGACTTAAAGGGTATTATGCTAAGTGAGATAAATCAGGCAGAGAAAGACAAGTACCATGTGATTTCTCTTATATGTAGAACCTAAAAATACAAAACAAAAACCAAGATCATAGATACAGAGAACAGATTGGTGGTTGCCAGAGACAGGGATGGGGGTGGGAGGAATGAGTCAACAACAACAAAAAATTTTTTTAAAGAAAAGAAAAGAAACCTCAGATAGCTTCTTATAAAAACAGAACAGTTTCCTAGGGACTGCCAAGCTGGACTTTCTGAATCACATTATCCAGGATTCTTATGGATAGCAGCCAGGTCCAGTCTTTCCACTTTTCCTGGGAGAACTAAGGCCCAAAGAGGCCTTGAGCCAGTCATCAATCAACCAAAATCAGAAATTAGGTCTCCTGACCTGTAGTTAGATGCTCTTTCCACACCAAGATCTGAAGCCTACAGGTCTCTGCCCATCATTCATTTTAATTTTTTTTAAATCAAAATTACTAATGCACACAGTTTAAAGAATCCAATGCAGGTGATTTTACAGGACTGTATGAAAAAACACAGTTCCTCCTCCATGCTCCCCCAGCTGCCCCTTCCCACAGGCAATTATGTCAAACTCTTTCAACTGATTCTTTTGTCATTGAAGGAAATGAGAATGTCTCCCCAAAATATGCTCTTTGACATAAAAGTTATTTTGAACTGAAGGCAATTAAAAATCAGTAAATGCAGGAAAAGTTCTCTCTACCATTCTCCCTTCTTTGCCTAAAGGCCAAATATAAAATTGTCCTTTTCTGGAGACAGATTCTTACCAGCCCAGAGATACACCAGAGGAATCTGCAAACAAACCTTACTCCGTATTTCCCTCCCATATACTTTCCCACAGGTTGCCATCCTTGGAAGCCTAAAACTGTTTTCCTTTGTCCTGTCATTTCTCTACAAATTTATTATTCTTTGTTAAATATGCTATATAAGCTGGAATTCTAAACTCCTGCTTTGAGTTACTTTTCATTGAAGTTTCTCCTGCATGATGTGTGCTGCATGCATTAATAAACTATTTTTATCTTGCTAATCTGTCTTTTTGTTAGAGTCCCAGATGAAAACCTAAAATGGGTAAAGTTTTGCCTCCCCTATGGTATTTATTCTCACCCCTTGGCATGGTTTGCATTTTTACAAGCATGTATCACTTTGTTATTGTTATGTGGTCTTAATAATCCAGTTAGAATGGACTGCCAGGTCCGGCCCAGGACTGAGATGTCCAGGTGTGGTGGAATAGCTCCGCGATCACCGGGCACAGGCCACCAGCTCCTCCAGGGCTTGCTCACGGCAGTTGCCGTGGACCAGCAGCACCTCCTTGATGCGTTCCTGCTGGAAGCCCATGTCGCTGAACTGTTCCCAGAGGTGCAGGAACTCCCCTGCCTGAGGAAAGAGAAGCAAACATGGCGTTGGGGACACTGTGAGGCCTGGCCCACCCATGTAGAACCACTTCTGGTACCCATTATATCTATTCCCAGAAAGTTGTGCCTCCTACCCCCACCCCCACCCCTGGGCCCAATGAGCCTTATCCTGGGCAGCACCCATGTTTCTCTTGCACCTCTGAGGTGACAAAATGGGCTTGAACCTGCCTTTCTGTGCCAAGGAAGGAGGCTGGAGCCTGGCCACTGGCTTTTTCCTGGCTCTGGTCCTGACTCCCTGAGCTTGGGTGCTGGGGCAGGAAGAGGAAGGCTGCATGCGGCTGCCCAGAGGCTGCCCAGCCTGGGTCTCAGCCCAAGCCCCAAACCCTGCTGAGGTTTCAATACAGCTCAGCCTCTGCCTTCCTTCGAACTCTGGCCCCAGTGCTTGAAACTTTGCTGCTTTTCTTCCCTGCCTCCTTCTTTGCACCTCGCTCACCCCTCCATCCTTCCCTCAGCCTCTGTGAAGAGCTGTTCTGCACAGCCTGGGCCAAGTGCCCATGGTGGACAAGTCATATTCACGGGGCATTTAGAATGTGTACTACTGGGCCCACAGCTGCCCGCATTCTAGGCTTCCAGGTAGGCGGCAAACTCCCCGGACAGAGTTCCATTATCTTTGTGCTGCCCATGGGGCCTATCCGGGTACCTGACAGAGCGAGCATTCAATAACATTTGTTAGGTTGATTGAGTTAAATAACACAAAAGCCTTGCCCCCTGTTCCCCTCCCCATCTCTCCCCCTTGCTTTCCCTGGGCTTCACCTCTCCACAGCGGAGCAAGCAGGCTATTCCCTGACGGCCCCAGGCTGGCTCAGGCACTGGTGCACCTCTGCACACCAGGCTCCTGTGCACAGCCCTGTCCCTTCCCCATCCTTGGGCCCGGATAGGTGACCCTGCTGACCTGGCTCTCAGAGAACTGGAACATCTCCATGGCCTCCTCCACCAGGCCCTCCTCGTAGCCCTGCCGCAGCAGCCGGTCACAGGCACTAAGGTAACTGAGAAACTGGGCCAGAAAAGGGCGAAAGGGGGAGGGCAATAAGAGGAGTGGCAGGGTAGCAGATGGGGTAGAAGAAGCACCCCAGGGACCTCATTAGGGTCCAAGTTCAGACAAGACTGCCTAGTCAATCCACCACACACACGACCCTAGAGGCCCTGTGAGCCAATAGAAGGGGGACAGAGACCTCCTTTGGGAACCTAGGGATGGGTGGACAGCAAGTTCTCACCAACTGTCCCAAACTGGGGCTAGAATCCAGGAAAAGGGCTGTCTGAGTGAGTTAAGGGGTTTCCAGAACCTAAGTAGGGAGTGGGACAGGCCTGAAACACAGGCGTCTCCTCTGCCACCCACCCCAGCCCTGTGAAGGTGCCTCCTCACCCACTCCCACCTGAGCACTCCCACCCGGCTCCCCACACAGACAGCCATGCCATCGGGTCTCTGTGAGCCCCGGCTGTGCCATAGTCCTCAACTGGTGCTGGAGACGGGAGGCAGGCAGGAGGGCTGAAAACGTATTCAAGTCACCCCCTGCCTGGTCATCAGGGGCTGCCTTTGCCCTCCAGCAACCTAGGCCAAGGCCGGCCCCACTCCTTTCCCCAGGTGCCCCAGGCAGAAACTGGGCCAGGAAGCAGGGGCTTCCCTTCTCACAGCAGTCACAGCTTGTTCTTGCTCTCCTGTCCTCCTCACCCACTGACTCCACTCCCTCTGTGGAGGAAGGGTTGTGTCCACAGCACCCGGCATGGCCAGCAAAAGGTGCTCAATAAATGTAGGCTGTGTTTATGAAATGAATGAAGAACTAAAAACTGAGTGGGGGAGATAAGCCAGATATGCGAGAACATGAGTGCCAGGCCAGTCAAAGCAGGATTTATAGGGAGTTGGTGCCAAATGAAGGCTCCAGACCGTAAGAATCGTGCACAAGTGGAGAAGAAACAGATCAAGCGTCTGCAGACCTTCAGAGCTGGGCAGGAAGCATGGATCGTAAAGACTAATGGTCTCCAAAGTGTTTTAGCCTCTAAACTGTCCAAGCACCAGGAGGCTTCAACAACGAGAAGGTTGGTGCTGCTCTGGGAGCTCTGGGGGCAGGAGAGTCCAGAGTTCCGTGCTCGCCAGGACACCCAGACTTTTCGGTGAGCACATATGGAAAACCACCCAGCCAAGCTCTCCTGGCACAGTTCAGGAAACTGAGGTCCAGGCACTTGCCCAGGGTCCCAGGACTAGGGCATAGACCTCCTGACCTCTCCGCCAGTGCCTTGTCCATCAGGGGACCAGCTGCTAGATGAGGGTCTTTAAGCTGCCTTGAAAGAAGATGGGGTTTCAAAGGTGAAACAGGAGGTCAAGGGAAGATGGGAGATGTTCCCTTCACCTCCCGGTTCATCCACAGTAAAGGTTCTTGGCCTGGCTGCTGATGGTGGCTACCTGGGAGCTTTAAAACTACCCATAAACCACAGAGGCTCTGACATAATTGGTTGAGGGGGCAGCCCAGGCACTGGGATTTTTATAGGTCTCCAGGTGGTTCTAATGTGCAGTCAAGGTTGAGAACCACTGACTCAAAGGATGGCTGACCTCAGTTCATAGCAGCAGACCTCATACCAGGCTATAAATCAGAACCATCTGCATACCTTTTAAAATGATAGATCCTTGCACACACTCCAGATCCCCTGACTGGAACCCTGCAAAGTAGGTCCTGGGAATCTGCATTTGTAAAGATTCTGCTGCTTAGTCAGCTTTGGGGCCATTGGGATTATAGAAGCCACTATGCTTACCTCAGGCCCCAAGGGTGGGTGAGAATGTCACCTTTAGAACCCAGGATGGGGCCCCCAGATGTCATTATCACAATCACATAATCCCCCTCTGTTGTGTGAATATGGAAAGCGAGGCTCAAAGAGGGGCCCTGATGTGCCTGGAGCCTGGCCCACGGACCTTCACACATTACCTGTGCCCGTCTGGGAGGCAGGCAGTAGGCACAGCAATCCTTGTGATGGACAAAGCTTATCTTTTATTTTCTCCCTGCCTCCTCTAAATGCCCTGTCTCCATCCCCTGATGCCCTCCTTCCTGGACCATCTCTTGTTTATCTCTGGCCAAAAAGCATTTCAAGGGGAGAAAGAACCTGAGCCCAAAGTCATTGCTCAGTTAATGGTAGAACTTCACAGAGAAGAGGGAAATACTAACTGGGTGCAGTAGGATAGATGAAGTCATCTAATGCCCACCCCTCAGGGCCAGGCCCCTGACTGCCCACCAGGGAAGGAGGCCACCCAGAGATCTGGCAGGCCAGGTGGTCAGTGCGTATCTGGAAACATGATGTTCCTGGTGCTGTGAGATTTTTCCAGCCCACCCACAGGGAGGCCAGTGCTCTGTGCTGCCTCCATCTAATCTTCAGATCCCCACAGTGATGACTTGAGACCCTAACCTCGTCAGGGAACCTAGAGGGACTCTAGGATGGATAAGATCTGAATTTGAAGGAAGGAGAAGGGATGATTATCTCAGCAGGAGGAACTGTGGGCAAAAGAGCGGAGGCAGCAAGGAAGGCCCACCGTGCGCCTTGCTGAAGGCAAGCTGAGGGGGGGTCAACTTTACATTTGCTCTTAAATTTCAGATCAGCCTAGGAGGCTGCCCTCAAAGGTCCTCACACAGAAAGTGAGAGAAAAGCACTGTGTGACAAAGATTCAGAGCCAAACCAGCCTGGTACTGCCATTGACTAGTTATATGAACCTCCCTGACCTCAGTTTTCTCATCTGCAAAGTGGGGATAGTAATAGCAACCTTGCAGAATTGAGAAGACCTAATCCAATGCTCTCAGACTGAGGCACTGGCACAAAGAAGGTGTTCAGTACATGTTAGCTCCTCCCTCATGTTAGCCACATGGGGTCACCATGTTGGAAGCTTTCTTCCAGGACAAGACATGCGCTGATAAGCCCAGAGTAGAGCAGAAGCAAGAGTGGGTGAAGAAGGGGGCCAGGTGCATTTCCCCATCTTCTCAACCAGGCAGCAGCCCATTCTGCTTCGGCTCCAGTTTGAGAGTCACTCTCCCATTGTCCCTCCCTTGCCCAAGAGCTCCAGACCTCAGGGACCCCACACATGGCACTGAGGAGTGATTATGGTGGCAGGAAAGAGACAGGAGAAAGGAGGAAGTGCCTACAGTCCTGGGATCTTTCAATACCTGTGGCCCAGCTTTCCAACCACAAAGACGCCCTGAGTTAGAAAACAATGTGAAGGGAGTTGTTACGTTCAGGTGGGGTTTGGACAATGGCATTCAGTGGCACTGCCCCTGCTCGCAATCCCCTTTTGTTATTGGGTCATTTGTAAAATTGTCAGCCCAGTCCTCAAGGCACCCTCAATCTGCCCTCAGTTCCCCTTCCCTGTCTTATCTCGCCCCAGCCTGCATCATGTACCTTCAACTCTAGCTAGACTGGTCGGGTCAAGGCCTCCCAAACACATCCTCGCTGCCTCCACTCTTTTGCCCACAGTTCCTCCTGCTGAGATGATCATCCTTTCTCCTTCCTTCAGATTCAGATCTTATCCATCCTTGAGGTCCAACTTAAGACTTTGTACCTCCATGAAGCTTTCTTGATCACTGGAACCTCCTTGTGGTAGATTAAGAATGGCTGTAAAGTCTTTACAGCCCCTTCCATCAAGAGATGACGTCTACTTTTCCACCCTTTCACTCTGGACTGGACTGGCCTATGACTTGCTTTGGCCAACAGAATGAAGCAGTAGTGACAACATACAATTTCAACCTAGGCCTCAAAAGACCTTGCAGCTTTCACTCTTACATTCTCAGAACCAAGTGGCCAACCTTGCTGGAGATACATGGCCCAGTTGACAAGTATCATCAACCCCTGGACCTTGAGGACATCTTAGACCATTCAGGTCCAACTGAATCAGTAAATCGTAGCTATATCAGAGACCCCAGGTGAAATCAGCAAAAGAACCACCCAGCTGGGCCCACCCCACACTGCTAACCCAGAGAATCGTGAGCGAAAAACTGTTTTAAGTCACTAAGTTGTGGGGTGGTTTGTTACCCAGCAACAGATAACTGAAATACCCCTACAGCTCTCATATCCTTTTTGCTCCCAGGCATCTTCTCACCAGCACCTCTCTTTTGGCACTTAGGGGGCTCTCACTCTCCTGTGGGGCTTTCACATTCTTGCTTGTGCTGGGGGTCAAGACCTGCCCCCAAATCTTAAAGTAGCTTGGGGTGTGACCCTTTGAGTGTCATCATGAGTGTCCACCCTCCTTCCAGTAAGAGTGAAGTTTTTAAGAATAGAATCTGGGTGTGGTTGACTGCAATGTACCTTCTAGATACCCCTTCACTGAAGGTCTTGCTGCCTCAGATGCTAGGAGAGCTGGTAAAACCCTTCAGCTATCTGTCCCTTCATGGATTGCCTTAGCTGCAGAGAACCACTTCTCTCAAGCCACCCCCTTCCTACAGCCAAAGATTACTTGAGACAGGGCATAAAGGTCTGACCATCTCAGCTCCACTTAGTGTAACTCTGAAGGGTCTTACATGCTCCAGAGCTGTGGGGTTGGCTGATGCTGTCACTGGACCAACACAACTCAACTTTTCTCTTTACCACCCCTGCTTCTGTCCCCTCCCTTCCACAGGAGTTGGTCCCAAGGGTCTCCTTAATAAAAATTCTGTATGCCAAACTCCCCTAAGACTGCTTCCTGGGGATCCCAACTTACAACACTGGTTTTTACATACCTTTGTTTCCCCAATAGCTCCTAGAGCATCTAAACACCCAAGAAGCACTCAGTAAACACTGTTGATTAGATGAGTAGATGGAAAGAAAGAGGGGGATGTGAGTATGGAAGCTGCTTATTAAGCAAAGTGGTTAGAGCTATGCCATCCAGTATGGTAGCCATAGCCACATGTGGCTATTTTAATTTAATTGCAATTAAATAAGATTTAAAATGCAGTTTCTCAGTCACACCAGCCACATTTCTCAGTCACTAGCGTGTAATATATTGGATCACACAGGTATAAAGCATCTTTGTCATTACAGAGAGTTATATTGGGCAATTCTGGAGAGACTCATGGCTGCCCAAAACTCCAGCTGCCTGTATTTGGGGCAGAGGCTGGAATAGGAGTAGATACTAAGACCCCCTTCCCCAAGTGGACACAGGGATTCCTCATAAACTATGAAGAAGGTAGTATGAAGGTCTAGAAACTTGTTTACAGTGCTCAATAATTAATGCCAGGATAAGGTTCTGCCTCTAAAGAGAAGGACACAAAACTTCTTCAAGTTAAAGATAAAATTCACATGGCCACTCACCTGGCTTCAGCTTCACAGCCCCCCAGCTCCGGGTCCCCACTCACCTGGCTCAGGCTCTGTCGCCCTGTCTTCTGCAGAGCCCTGATGGCCCTATGCAGGGGATACCCCAGGGCGACCACTGGCCCGATGAGGTCTTGCTCCTCTTGGCTCAGGGCAGACAAAAGGTCAGCAGAATCAGGGTGTGATCTGTGGGTGCTAAGGGACTGTGGCGTCCTTCCAGGAGGCGGCAGGCAGGTGTACGGGCTAAGGGACTGAAATACAGACAGGCTGAATGTGTCAGTTACCACTGGAGGTGACACCTGGCTTGGCAGGACATTTGTGTACCATTTCTGTACAGAGTATAGGGGTTAATATTATGGAGAACTGGGAGTCCTGTAGACCTGAGTTCAAACCCCAGATGTCCACTGTTTACTCAGTTTATTCATACGTACAGTGGGACTTATACTAGATACCTCACAGAGGTAAGAACTTTAAATAAGAAATGGTAGAAAAGTGATTAGCAAAGGATCTGGCATACAAAAATTGCCAGTAAATGATATTTCATTTATTGCTTAGAACATTCCTGCAAGAGAAATATGATAGGTCCATTCTGTTATTCCATTTTATAGATATTGAAATCAAGTTTCAAAGAAGTTAGTGACCTGGTAAGTATAGGGTTCCTGATCAACTATGAAGAAGATAGCATTAAGGACTAGAAACTTGCTTACAACCTTCAATAATTAATGCTAGCATTAAGGTTCTTCCTCTTAAAAGAATCACAGGAATTCAACAGGCATTCATCGAGCACCCCCTATGGGCCAAGTCTGCGGCTGGGTGCTCTGGAAACAAAAATGAACTCCAGCCAATCTCTGCCCTAAAAGAACTCATTCCATTTGAAGAGACAGACAGGTACTGGAAGATTATAATCACTGTGGCATGCGCCTGAAGAGAGGTAAGGCAGGCACAGTGGGAAACAGGAATGGCGAGAGGGGGGCCTCTGAGGAGGGAATATTCTATGCAAAGGGCCACAGGAAAGACAGCAGCAAGGAATAGATTCGGTAAGAGCAGGTAGAGGTGGGGAGGAGAGCAGGGAGGAGGGGACCTAGGCTGCAGGCCGGGCTGGGGACTCAGGCCACTGGGGGCCTTGCTGCTGAGGTGCGGCGTTGGCCAAGCAGGCAGCTTCCTTACCGCGACGGTGGGCTTGTGGCTCCGCAGCGGGGGCACGGCGCCGGCCGTGGAGGGCCGCGGGGGCGGCGCCGGGACACTGGGCAGACGGGGCGCGGGGCCCGGGGGCGGCGCGGGGCAGGGACAGAGGCTCAGGGCCCGATGGCGGATGCGGGGCAGGAGCGCGCGGGGACGGGCGGCCAGTTTGTCCTCGGAGAGGCGCCGCCGCGCCCCGGCCAGCTCAGACCTCACGCCGTGCAGCACGTCGGGCGAGCACCGGCTCCGGCCTGGGCCAGGGCTCGCCGGGCAGCCAGGCTGGGGGCCGCAGGGATCCGGCTCCTCCTCGCCGGCAGAGGAGGCTTCTTCCTGGTCCTGACCCTCCTCCTCCTCCACCTCCTCTTTGGGCAGCTCCTGAGGCATGGCCCCAGGGCCTTTGGCTGCAGCAGGCGCGGGCACCAGCGCGCCTTCGGGGCCGACCAGCAGGAGCCAGGCAGGAGGGGCAGACGCTGTCCCCTGGACATCGCACCGGGAGGGGCAGGGGCTCCGGACGACAGCCTCTACCCAGAAATGGGCCCTCCTCTCCAGGCTGAAGTCGTGCTGCGGGGAGAAGATGATGTGGGGCTCAGCCAGGCAAACCCGGGCCTGGGGTGGAGGGGTGGGGAGGGCTCCCCTCTACCCCTTAGCCTCTGGGGGGACCCTGTTCAGCCAGACTTGCCAGGCCTGGAAAGTTTCCAGTTTTGAGTCCCAGGCATCCGGCACAGCCCGCCCCTCACCCTGCGTTTTAGCTGGCCCTGGGCTTGATGATATCAGTAACAATTTAATGGCAAATTAAAGTGATATTTTAATGAAGGACAAAGTGAGGAGCAGGTTAATAGAATGAAATCCGGTATCTAAGTCCCTTTGCCATTCAGTGTGTAGCTGAACAATAGCGGCTTAGCGGATTGGATGGGGGCAATGGTGAATGCAGGGACAACAGCAGTAGTGTGGGTGAGAGGTGACGGTGGCTTGGACCGTGGTGGTGGGAATGGAAAGAAATAGAACAATCTGAGATACACAACTGGAAGGAGAATGTCTCTGGCTTGATGTAGGAGGATAAGGAAGTGATTGGAGAGGTAGGAAAGTTTCATTAGTGAGCTTGGACTTTATTCTGAGGGGATAAAGGGGAAGCCATTTAACATTTTAACCTTGGGAGTGATCCATTCAGATGTGCGTTTATTAATACATCACTTGGCAGAAGGTGGTGAGAAGACTTTTAGATCAGTGCACAGATCACACGCCCCAGCCCTGGAAGATAGGGAGCTGCCTCAAATCCCCCACTTTGACTGACATCTCCCTGCTCCACGAGTCTCCGTCTGACGGGGCTAGTTTTGGCTTGGCGAGGAGATGAAGCTGGATCAGGAGGCGCTGCTGCCGTATCAGGAACAAGTTCCAGTTCCGATCTATCATCCAACACCTAGTCAGACTCGCCTAGCAACTCAGCTGACTGAAGAGGAACAAATTAGGGAAGCTCAAAGAATAGGCCTTATACAACACCTGCCTAAAGGAGTATATGACCCTGGAAGAGATGGATTAGAAAAAAAAAGATCAGGGAGTGTGTGATCTGTATGAGGACTTTGTTTACAGGGTCCTAATTCGATTTCTGCTGGGCATGCCTGGACTGTACCTGGACTGTACCTGGATGTGTACCTGGACTGTACACATGGCTGGTTGATGAGTCCCTTCCCGTACCCCTCCTGCATGGAGCCAGTTGCTGCAGCACTGCTTTCCTCTGAGACTAACTGAGCCAGGGTCTCTCATCTGACTTAAAGTGACCCATTATTTTTAGTGGTTTTGATCTTTTGTCACTGAGCCCAAAGAGCCAGGGATTAGGAATTAAGATCATGCACAAAGTTTCCTAAAAATTTCTGAATGACTGCAGATGTTGGGGAAAAGTATGCGACATTTTAGAAACTTAGGGGTAAAAGTAGGATGGTATTTTTATGTAAAGCCTGACCCATTGTTTAAAAATATAGTTGTGTTTAGACCTCAATGTGCTCCAGCACATAGGAATTGTGTAAAGTGTTACAGCTGCTGTATATGTTTAAATTGTGTGTGTTGAAGATTATGAAAAAGATAAGTGAAATAACTCTCTTTTCAACCCCGCCACCCAAATTCTTTTCTGAAATTGCTGGCATTTGGGTCAAGGTTTTATTAAAAGCTACATTTCATAACACTGGCACAAAGAAAAAACAGTTTTAAGCTTGTTTGCTCAGTTTTTTCTTTTCCATTGGAAATAGAATTCATTGACTTAGGTCTTTTTAAATAGTATATTATTATCATTGGGGCTGGCTCTATGCTTGGAAACCAGTTTATTTACAACCTGTTACAAGTGCTGTATCTGTTTGCAGGTAGGAAATGCAGAATTCAAAGTGATCTCCTAGCTTGTAAGCAAACTGAGACTCACTATCCCTTTTCTATGAAAAATAAGTTAATATGTCAGAAAATCAACTCCAGCAAAGTAGGGTTTAATACTACCCTTTCCTATGTGTTTTATCAAATTAATTTGATTGTTAATATGGTGATAGTAAAAGTCAAAGTAAAGTTTAAGTATTAAGATTTCTGATTTATTTAGTTTGAATTATGCCACCATGTAAGTGGCACCATGGTGAAACAGAAGTTTCTTAGTTGTAACCGTTTTGATTTGTTCTTTCCTGTGACCTCCTTCCCTGTTGTCTTGTGCCTCTTATTATCATAGTGCTGAGGATATAGAAGTTATATAAAATACATTTCTGTCTTTGTTTCTTGGAAAGGAAAGTCCTGCTAGGTGACTGACAAGTCTAAGCAGGGGAGAATTAAGATAACTCTATTTCATGTTTTGCACACAAATGCAGAATTTGTATAACCACATTATTTCACAGTCGTGATCTCAAAAGAAGGAATTTCTCCTCTTTTTCCTGCAGTTAATGTTAAGAACACTCTGAATCTCTAAGCTTCTGAAGTGTTAGAGGCAGAAATGGTCTAGTAAGATGTAGCTGAAATGTTCTATCCATTTAACATGGGTTTACTTTTCCTTGTATACTTAAAAGTATTTGTTCAGTTCAGTGATATTATAGCTAAAAAAATCATTCATTAGCTAAAGAAGTAATCTCAACCTAACAAGCTGGAAATGTTTATGTTGAGTTAATATTTGACTTAACACTTTTCTACTTACAAAAAAAAAAAACCCAAATATCTTGAAGTTTCTTCAAAATTGCATTATAGAGGAATTTAGTATGTCATAAATACTTCTTAAAGATTTGAAAGTCGACTAGTATTCATATGTTGGTTAATTTTCTTGTAAGCCCCATGATGGCAAGACTTAAAAATGAATTTGGGAAAAAATTGAAAGAAATTAGGTTATCAGGTTCTGTTAAATTGTTATATGTATCTCACTTAAGTTTTTGTTCATTAATTCATGTCCACCCAATTACATAAACCCAATTTGGCAGAATAAAAAAATAATAGTGACTTAAAATTTTTCTCCAATAAAACTTGTTCTTAGTAGAGAAGCTTTCACTTGAACCCAGCACCATTTGCCACTGAGCAGTCAGCCTCGCGAACCTCCCCAAGGACTCATACCTGCCCCCACTCCCTTTGCTGTCATCCAAGGGTACTTTGGGGCCCCAGGGTAAAAATTTCCCAAATGTAACAACAGCTAATTTTTGCTGAACTCTACTTGGTAGGTTCTAGTTTATTTCTATTTGCAGATTAAGAAAGTGAGGCTCAGAAAATTTAATTTGCTTGAGGTCAGATTGGTGGTGAGTGGCTGAGCTGGGATTCCTCTGTCCATCTGACGGGAGTGCTTTCTCTACTACATAGTAGGCCACCTATGACAGCAGTCTAGAGTCCATATAAATAACCTAACTTGAGTGTTCATAAATGGGGAAAAAATAAAATATTCCTGTTTTGCCTATCTTTAAAATTAAGAACTGAAAATATAAAGCCCAATTTAAAGATATTTAAAGGAATTTAAAGGCAATTCCAATGCTCTATGATGGCCAATTAGGGGAGAGTGAAGCCAAGGGAAGTGGTAAGTGGGAAGGAAAGGGGAGGCAGGCAGACAGACCCTCAGACACTGCCCCCTCCCACCCCTGCATGACCTTATGTTGGGAGAGGAACATGACTTAGCAGGTCCAGTGGGGTTCCCTGGCTGAGGTCAGGGACCGTATCTTTCCTCTCTGTATTCAGGGCCCAGGGCAGGCCTGGAACTGAGTAGACATTTGTTAGGGTGTGCAGAATAAATCATTAGAGAATGAGACTGGAGCAAAATAGGCAGGTTGTGAAGGACAGAGGAGGGAAGAAGGCAACTTCAGAACTGATAGACTTGGAGAACGTGCCAAACTGCAGACTTGGAGAGAAAAAAAACTAAGAGAGAGAGAGCCAGTGGGACTTAGGGATAAAAAGATACAAAGAGCCAGTAAAAATACCAACACTTGTGATTTATGGAACTAAGCAAGATGGTTCTAAAGTTCATATAAAAAATAAACAAATAAGAATAGCCAGAAAAATAGGGGGGACAAAAAGATAAATAAGGACTGGCCCTACCAGCTGTTAAAATGTATTATAAAATGCCAATAATTAAAACTACAGAACTAGCACAGATAAGGGTACAGAATAGAAAATCCATAGATATTCAGTAGACCTTAATTATCTATGAGGCTTTAGTTAATAATAAAGGTATCAATAATAAAAGTATCTCAAGCAATGGCAAAAAAAGGGACTGGTCTGTAAGTGGTGGTAATTAGCTGGAAGAAAATAAAACTGAATCCATTCTCACATTATACACAAGGATGAATTCTACAAAGATCGAATGTATGTACTAGGCGAAAACAGGAGAAACCCTTTTTTAATCTCAAGTGGGGCAACCTTTCTCGCTTTGAATCAAAATCCAGAAGCCATGAAAGTACACGCATACACATATGCAAAATCTACATAACAAAGACACCCCTCAAGCAAGGTAAAAGACAGATGACAAACTGGGGTGGGGCAGGGGAAATAGCGCATCAGAAAGGACTAACTGTACTAATACAGGCAGTGCTAGAAATAGATAAGAAAAAGACCAACTGCTCAACAGGAAAATGTACAAAAGATACAGGAGTCCACAGGGAAGGAAATGCAAATGGCTCTTAACTGAAAAGTTGTTCAACCTCGTGATAAGAGAAAGGTAAATTGAAACTACACTGAGAAAAAAAAAATTACCCTGAGATACTGAGATACCATCCCCTTGTCCCTTGGCAAAGATCCAAAGTCAGATGACACCCTACTGGGGAGTGTGGCAGGTACAGGCCTCTTGTAGAGTGCTGCTTGGGATGTAAATCAGTTTAACATCCACTGAGGCAATTTCAAAATATACTTAAATGAATTCAAAAGGACAGTTTGCATGTAGTCACTCCCTGTAGCATTGTTTATAATGGCAAAAGGCTGGGTGGAACCTAAGTGTCCATTATGATGGATCTTGTTCAACAAACAGATATATCCATATAATGCAATACTACACTGTGAAAAACAAAACTGAAGAAACTTTCTATGTACTGGAAAGGCTTCAAAATATATTAAGTGAAAAAATTAATAAGAATCATATATAGAAAATACTACATTTGGTGCAAAAATGAGGAAATAGCTGCATATATATAGCTTGTGTATACATACATAAGGATCTCTGGAAGATTACGTAAAAAATGAGCAACGGACATCACCAGTGAGGGGGTGGAGGTAGGGAACAGGGCCAATGTAAAGGTGTTAGTGGCAAGCTTTTCACTCTTCAGGGTAGGCAAGTTGCCTGTGAGCAGCTTGGGTAGCCAAACTGACCCACCCCTACCTGTCTTAGCCCAAAGTAGTAAATCTAATGGTAGAATTTTAGACATGACAACAGGCTGATAGGGAAGTACATCCTTGCAATGACTGAGAGTCACTTCATATAGATAACTTTCCAGTTACCTTGAACTTAAAATAAGACCTACTAAGTAATTCCCATCATCAGGCTACCAGCCTTCTTCCTGAAACACCTTTTTCTCTCAGGTTTCTTCCCAACTCCCTAGAATATACTGGAGCAGGCTTTGCTGCTCTTTAAAATCAAGGAACAAGGTTCCACAAAGCTCAGCATCACGTCCACAGACCATGGACAAGGAGATAGACGGACGGAGAGATACACTTACCATAGAACCCAGCAGAAGCTCCCTGCAGGCTGGGACACTGAACTCTGGTCCAAGGAGGGGCTCTGTGCCTATCACAAAGCCATTAGGCACCTTGAAGGGGACACCATCAAGGACATTCATTCCGTCAGAGGAGTGTGGCAATGACTGGGCAGGGCTGGGGCAGGCTGCCTGGTGACAGAGAGAAAGCGTGGTCCTGAGGACCAGGCTCAGGCTTCAAATGTCTTCACCACTTTGCTGTGTGGTGACTTAGCTCGACTCCACACAGCCAGGAAGAAAAAAGTGAAGTGCTCGGTGCTGCATAAGGGAAGAAATGAATAAAAAGAGCATTCAAACTGACAGGAATTAACTATTTTATGTTTAAGTCTTGCTCTAGTTCATTGTTTTCCAAAACATGTTTTAAAACATTAGTTCTAAAGCAACACTAGTTCTAACGTATTTCATCAAAATAGTTTTTGCCTAAATGTTTAAAGAAAAAAATAACCAAATTACATAAACACTTCCAGAACCAGAAAAGAAGGAATACATCCTCACTTGTTTTGATGTCAGCATGATCTTGATAACAAACCTGACAAGATAATTAGAGACTGATCTCTCATGAACATAAATGTAAAAATCTTAACAAGAATAATTATGCATAGAAAAATATACATTGCCAGGTTGAGTTTATTTTGGGAATGAGAGATTGGCTTAACATTTCAAAACCAATCAATGGGGGAAAAGATAAATATCAACAGAATAAAAACAAAAAAATACAATTATCAATTTCTATAGATACAGAAAAAACACTTGATGAAATCAATACCCTTACAGTGTGGTGAGTGGCTGAGCTGGGATTCCTCTGTCCATCTGACGGGAGTGCTTTCTCTACTACATAGTAGGCCACCTATGACAGCAGTCTAGAGTCCATATAAATAACCTAACTTGAGTGTTCATAAATGGGGAAAAAATAAAATATTCCTGTTTTGCCTATCTTTAAAATTAAGAACTGAAAATATAAAGCCCAATTTAAAGATATTTAAAGGAATTTAAAGGCAATTCCAATGCTCTATGATGGCCAATTAGGGGAGAGTGAAGCCAAGGGAAGTGGTAAGTGGGAAGGAAAGGGGAGGCAGGCAGACAGACCCTCAGACACTGCCCCCTCCCACCCCTGCATGACCTTATGTTGGGAGAGGAACATGACTTAGCAGGTCCAGTGGGGTTCCCTGGCTGAGGTCAGGGACCGTATCTTTCCTCTCTGTATTCAGGGCCCAGGGCAGGCCTGGAACTGAGTAGACATTTGTTAGGGTGTGCAGAATAAATCATTAGAGAATGAGACTGGAGCAAAATAGGCAGGTTGTGAAGGACAGAGGAGGGAAGAAGGCAACTTCAGAACTGATAGACTTGGAGAACGTGCCAAACTGCAGACTTGGAGAGAAAAAAAACTAAGAGAGAGAGAGCCAGTGGGACTTAGGGATAAAAAGATACAAAGAGCCAGTAAAAATACCAACACTTGTGATTTATGGAACTAAGCAAGATGGTTCTAAAGTTCATATAAAAAATAAACAAATAAGAATAGCCAGAAAAATAGGGGGGACAAAAAGATAAATAAGGACTGGCCCTACCAGCTGTTAAAATGTATTATAAAATGCCAATAATTAAAACTACAGAACTAGCACAGATAAGGGTACAGAATAGAAAATCCATAGATATTCAGTAGACCTTAATTATCTATGAGGCTTTAGTTAATAATAAAGGTATCAATAATAAAAGTATCTCAAGCAATGGCAAAAAAAGGGACTGGTCTGTAAGTGGTGGTAATTAGCTGGAAGAAAATAAAACTGAATCCATTCTCACATTATACACAAGGATGAATTCTACAAAGATCGAATGTATGTACTAGGCGAAAACAGGAGAAACCCTTTTTTAATCTCAAGTGGGGCAACCTTTCTCGCTTTGAATCAAAATCCAGAAGCCATGAAAGTACACGCATACACATATGCAAAATCTACATAACAAAGACACCCCTCAAGCAAGGTAAAAGACAGATGACAAACTGGGGTGGGGCAGGGGAAATAGCGCATCAGAAAGGACTAACTGTACTAATACAGGCAGTGCTAGAAATAGATAAGAAAAAGACCAACTGCTCAACAGGAAAATGTACAAAAGATACAGGAGTCCACAGGGAAGGAAATGCAAATGGCTCTTAACTGAAAAGTTGTTCAACCTCGTGATAAGAGAAAGGTAAATTGAAACTACACTGAGAAAAAAAAAATTACCCTGAGATACTGAGATACCATCCCCTTGTCCCTTGGCAAAGATCCAAAGTCAGATGACACCCTACTGGGGAGTGTGGCAGGTACAGGCCTCTTGTAGAGTGCTGCTTGGGATGTAAATCAGTTTAACATCCACTGAGGCAATTTCAAAATATACTTAAATGAATTCAAAAGGACAGTTTGCATGTAGTCACTCCCTGTAGCATTGTTTATAATGGCAAAAGGCTGGGTGGAACCTAAGTGTCCATTATGATGGATCTTGTTCAACAAACAGATATATCCATATAATGCAATACTACACTGTGAAAAACAAAACTGAAGAAACTTTCTATGTACTGGAAAGGCTTCAAAATATATTAAGTGAAAAAATTAATAAGAATCATATATAGAAAATACTACATTTGGTGCAAAAATGAGGAAATAGCTGCATATATATAGCTTGTGTATACATACATAAGGATCTCTGGAAGATTACGTAAAAAATGAGCAACGGACATCACCAGTGAGGGGGTGGAGGTAGGGAACAGGGCCAATGTAAAGGTGTTAGTGGCAAGCTTTTCACTCTTCAGGGTAGGCAAGTTGCCTGTGAGCAGCTTGGGTAGCCAAACTGACCCACCCCTACCTGTCTTAGCCCAAAGTAGTAAATCTAATGGTAGAATTTTAGACATGACAACAGGCTGATAGGGAAGTACATCCTTGCAATGACTGAGAGTCACTTCATATAGATAACTTTCCAGTTACCTTGAACTTAAAATAAGACCTACTAAGTAATTCCCATCATCAGGCTACCAGCCTTCTTCCTGAAACACCTTTTTCTCTCAGGTTTCTTCCCAACTCCCTAGAATATACTGGAGCAGGCTTTGCTGCTCTTTAAAATCAAGGAACAAGGTTCCACAAAGCTCAGCATCACGTCCACAGACCATGGACAAGGAGATAGACGGACGGAGAGATACACTTACCATAGAACCCAGCAGAAGCTCCCTGCAGGCTGGGACACTGAACTCTGGTCCAAGGAGGGGCTCTGTGCCTATCACAAAGCCATTAGGCACCTTGAAGGGGACACCATCAAGGACATTCATTCCGTCAGAGGAGTGTGGCAATGACTGGGCAGGGCTGGGGCAGGCTGCCTGGTGACAGAGAGAAAGCGTGGTCCTGAGGACCAGGCTCAGGCTTCAAATGTCTTCACCACTTTGCTGTGTGGTGACTTAGCTCGACTCCACACAGCCAGGAAGAAAAAAGTGAAGTGCTCGGTGCTGCATAAGGGAAGAAATGAATAAAAAGAGCATTCAAACTGACAGGAATTAACTATTTTATGTTTAAGTCTTGCTCTAGTTCATTGTTTTCCAAAACATGTTTTAAAACATTAGTTCTAAAGCAACACTAGTTCTAACGTATTTCATCAAAATAGTTTTTGCCTAAATGTTTAAAGAAAAAAATAACCAAATTACATAAACACTTCCAGAACCAGAAAAGAAGGAATACATCCTCACTTGTTTTGATGTCAGCATGATCTTGATAACAAACCTGACAAGATAATTAGAGACTGATCTCTCATGAACATAAATGTAAAAATCTTAACAAGAATAATTATGCATAGAAAAATATACATTGCCAGGTTGAGTTTATTTTGGGAATGAGAGATTGGCTTAACATTTCAAAACCAATCAATGGGGGAAAAGATAAATATCAACAGAATAAAAACAAAAAAATACAATTATCAATTTCTATAGATACAGAAAAAACACTTGATGAAATCAATACCCTTACAGAATTTTAAGAAACAACAAACGCTTTTAGCGAGTTAGGATTAGAAGGAAATTTCTTTATCTGATAAAGAATATCTCTAAAACATCTGGTGAAATACTGAAAGATATCCCCAAGATTGGAAGTGGAACAATCATCTGTTCCACATTGCTCTGGAGGTACTAGCCTGTGCAGGAGGGTAAGATATAAAAGTATAAGGATTGGAAAAAAGAAAGAAATCTATTATTTGTAGATGACATAATTATATGTAGAAAATCCCAAAGAATCTATGAATAAAACCCTTAGAATGAGTAAGCTAATTTAGCAAGGTTGTTGGATAAAGGCCAGTATATTATAATAGATTTTATCTCTATATACAAAAGATAAAAAGTGTTATCTTTCAAAAGTTTCACTAGAGACTGAAATTTTTTAAAGATACCATTTATATCAGCATCAAATACCTGTAACTCAATCTACCACAAGATCTTTAAGACCTCTACAAAGAAAACTATAAAATATTAGGTTAAATGGAGGTACATACCAGGTTCATGGATTACAAAACTCAATACTATAAGATGTAATTTTTTCCTGAATTGCTTTATAGATCCTACGTATCAAAATTCCATCACCTTATTTGGTGTAAATTAGCAAATGAATTCTAAAATTTAAATCAAATGGGAAGGGCCAAGAAAAGCCAACAAGCTTGAAGAACCAACACATTTAGAAGATTATACTATCAGATATCAAGACTTACTTTAAAGTTAGAAGAATTAAGACAGGGTGCTACTGATATGAGGATTTACAAAGACACTAATAAAACAGAAAAGAAAGTCCAGAAACAGATCCATGCACTTATAGATCCTTGATGTATGACAAAATTGGCCTTGCAGAGCAGTACGAAAATGAAGGTCTTTTCAATAAATTGCTCTGGATTAATTGGATATCAACCTAGAAAAATAAAATCTTGACCTCTACGTCATATCATACACAAAATTCAATTCCAAGTGGACTATAGAACTAAATATAAAAGGTGAAATAAAGCTTGAAGATAAAAATAGGAGAATTTATTCATGGCTTTTGGTTAGGCAAATGTTTGTTAAACGGGTTACAAAAAAACTAACCCTAAAGGAAAATAGTGATAAATTGGTTTGCATTAAAGTTAAGAACTTCCATTCATCAGAAGATACCATTAAGAGAGTTAAAATAAAAAAATCAAAGATTGGGAGTTTCACAGCACACATATCTGACAAAGGAATCATATCCAATATATGCAGAGAACTTCCACAAATCAATAAGAAAAAGACCCAATATGAAAATAAGCAAGAGATTTTAACAGGCACTTCACAAAAAAGGATGTCTAAATAGCCAATAAACATGTAAGTTGTTTAACCTCATTAGTCTTATGGCAAATGCAAAATAAAACAATGAGTTAACACTACACACACACAAACGGTTAAAATAAAAATGTCTGAGAGAGAGAAATAAAAAATACCTTGATAATATTCAATGTTGATGGAGATTTGGATCTTCTAGAACCCTCATGTACTGTTGGTGACAAAGTGATCAATATTAGTCAGCAGTGTCTATTGAAGTTGAAATATAAGAATTAAAAATCCATAAGCATATAGCTTCTGAGCCTTTTGACAAAGATCACGTGTAGTATCTGTTATTTAATAATATTC